TTTTGAATTTCTGATTTATCCCTTCCCACCCGCCTTTACCGCCTGGTAACCCTAAGTTTGTTCTCTGTGAGTCTGTTTCAGTTTTGTAGATAAGTTCATTTGTATCCTTTTTTTCAGATTCCACATATAAGTGATATCATATTATCATATGGTATTTTTCTTTCTCTTTCTGGTTTATTTCACTTAGAATGACAATTATTTATTTATTTAATGGCGGTACTGGGGATTGAATACACGGCCTCATGCATGCTAAGCATGCACTCTACCACTGAGCTATAACTTCCTTCTCCTCCACAGCTTTTGAAGACTCATGATCTCTCCCCAAGCCACAACTACATTGTTGTCTGCCACCCTCATGGGCTCCTGTCCCATTCCTACTTTGGCCACTTTGCCACAGAGGCCTCAGGCTTCTCCAAGATCTTTCCTGGCATCACCCCTTATTTGCTCACACTGGGAGCCTTTTTCTGGGTGCCTCTCCTCAGAGACTATGTCATGATGACAGGTGAGTTGGCTCCTAGGACATCAAGCCAAGGAAAAACTGGCTCCCTGAGGGAGAACTGTTGGGTGAATGAATGGGTGAGAACAAGGCCAACTCTCGGATCCCCTCTTGTCGTTTTTGTTTGTTATTTTGAGGGGGAAGGTAATTAGGTTTATTTATTTTTTTAATGGAGGTGCTGGGGATTGAACCCAGGACCTCATGCATGCTAGGCATGTGCTTTACCACTGAGCTGTACCCACCCACCCCCTCTGGTCTTAAGAAGCTACCTTAGGCTAGGCTGCCTGATATGAGGCTTGCTCCTCCTTTGAAGAGGTAGGGAGGAAAGTTCGGAGGTTTGGCAAGTGACCAATGACCCTTTGGCTTTTCCTGACCACCAGGAATCTGCTCTGTGAGCCAGTCCTCCATGGACTTCCTGCTTACCCATAGAGGCACAGGCAACATGCTGATTGTGGTGGTTGGCGGCCTGAGTGAATGCAGATTCAGCGTGCCAGGATCTACCACCTTGGTCTTGAAGAAACGCATGGGCTTTATCCGCATGGCCCTTCGGCATGGGTAAGGATGTTTCTGGTCCAGACTGGGGAAAAGGGCTCCAAAAGCCCATCAGGGCAGGGGTAAGTGGTTTTGAGGAAATGATGTACAAGCTGGTTGTGCAGGGGGAGGGGGAGGGGGAGCAGCTTCTGTGTCAGAGTAGAGCCTGGGCCAGGTTCTGGAAGCATTTCTGCTTATAAAGAAAAGCTAGCAGATCAGCCTTGAGCCTGTGCTCCCTCACACTAGCTTCTCATCTGGGCCAGTCCCTCTATAAAAATGACTGGCTGAGACCCCATCTCGGAGAGAGCCGAAATTACCCTGTTGGTTAAAGGGAAGAAACGGCCCTTGGGTCTAATCTGCCAGTGGAATTTTGGTTGTTTTTGCTTTGTTGTGGAGATAATCAAGTATATGTATTTACATATTTATTTTAATGGAGGTACTAGGGATTGAACCCAGGAGCTTGTGCATGCTACGCACACGCTCTACCACTGAGATACGCCCTCCCCTCTGATCTGCCAGTGTTTCAGACTTGAGGGTTTATGGAAGGGGCTGGGACTCACGTCCTTTAGCTGGCTGCTACTTTGTCTCCCTGGGCAATATGGGGTAGACCATGTGACCCTCACACTTAGCCTGGGCCTGGGCCCAGTTGGGTCAGGAACTGAGGAGCTTATAGGCAGATCCAGGGGCTACTGGTGGTCAGTGTGTCTGGCTCTCAGCAAGGGCCTTACCTTTTGGGCCATCAAAGAACATGGTTTTCCTCTGCAGGGTGGCTCTAATCCCTGCTTACACATTTGGGGAGACAGAACTCTACAATCAGCATATTTTCACTCCTGGGGGCTTGGTCAATCGCTTCCAGAAGTGGTTTCAGAGCATGGTACACATCTACCCTTGTGCCTTCTATGGGCGTGGCTTCACTGAGAACTCCTGGGGCTTTCTGCCCTACGCTCGGCCTGTGACCACCATCGGTGAGTGGGTCCCTCTGCTGGCAGCCTCATCTGGGCTAGAGGAGCCAATTCTGAGGCTGACCCTTGGCTCTGGCTGTATCCAGAGGCGGGGAGGCGGACCAGGCTGAGTGCAGGGTCAGGGGAAGCGTTAAGGGAGAAACTGGGCTGAAGGGCTGAGGCCCATTCTAAGGAGGGCGCCGTTCTGAGACTCCTCCCTTTCCCTTGTCTGTCTCCCCTGGCAGTTGGGAAGCCTCTACCCATGCCCAAGATTGAGAACCCGAGCCAGCAGACGCTGGATAAATACCATGCAGTCTATATCAGCGCCCTGCGCAATCTATTTGACCAGCACAAGACCAAGTTTGGCTTCTCAGAGACCCAGGAACTGGTGATAGTTTGACAGACATCCCCGGGGCCTCTCAGCCTGCCTGGAAGGTATGGAGCCGGGAAACAGGAAGACGTCACCTGTGGGGCTCCTGCTTCTGATTCAGCCAGTCCTCAGTGTGACGGGGGCTGGGGGATAGGGATGGGGAGGGCCCTCTTCCTCTTTCATCTCTCTCCTCCTTCCAGCTCTTCTCAGTGTTTTCCTTCAGGCCATGACGAAGATGCCCCCAAGACAGGGAAGGCTCTAGGGGGAGAGGTGCCCTGAAGGCTCCCTCACAGAGGCCCACTCAGCATCAGCACCTGCTGACATTGCCTGTGCCCCAGCCAGCCCGTTCCAGGGGCCTAGGATCCCTGCGTGTGACTCTCCTCCAGCTCTCAAGCAGCCTCATCTCCTGGCATCAAGGCTCCTCCAAGACAGGCTGCCTTGAGATACAGGGGGCTTTGAGTTCAGGCCCCACCCACTTCAAGCCCTGTGACTTGGAGCTATCAGTCACCTCTGAGCCTGTTTCCTTATCAGTAAAAATGGGACAAGTTGTCCCTCCCCTGCTTACCTCAGAGAGTGCTGGGAATGATCAAACGATATCAGAAGTGATTGAGCCAAGAGCACACAAAATTCTTCTGCAACCATTTTGCCCATTTCCTGTCTGCAAGCAAACAATGCCCTACATGTCATGGCATATCAATGTTTAAAAGAAAGTGTATTCAATTAAAAAAAAATCAACATTCCAGTCTATTAAAAAAAAGAAAGTTTAAGTTTATGGTCTAGGGTCTTGTCAACAGTTCTCTGAAAGTTTAAGTAAACTTTCTAATTGGGTGACCTTAGGCGAGCTCCTTCAACTCTTTAGTCTTGGTCTCCTCATCTGCAAAATGGGATGATACATCCTGGGGAGCTGGAGACTGCATCTACCCAAGCTCTTTTGGATGCAGGCCTGAAATAAGTCTCCAGCTGAGGGCAACTCCATGTGGTGTCACTGCCTTGGGGCCGTGTTCCTTCTTGCAGGCCCTCTAGCCTACTGGACATATGGCTATAGGAAAAGACCTAGGGGATAGGGATGAGTGCCTGGGGGTTGGGGCACAGAGAGGATGTGGGATATTCTGACTGGAAATTTGGAATACCTTCCTCCTGTTGCCTCTTAAATGCAATAGGTGCCTCGGTCCTTCCTGAAGCTCATGGGTGATGTCAGAGAAGCACCTGGCATGGAGGACGTGCTTGAGTCAATCTCCAGAACAAGGGGGAAAAGCTTTATTTGCAAAGAATAAACCATTAATTTACACAAACTTACATCCCAGTTTATATACATTATGTATAGTTTATATACACGGTATCTCACACTGGGTGCCAACCCCCAAAGCAGCACTGGGCCTGCTCTAGGCCATTCTCACAACAAAGCCCACCCCCACCCCAGATGGGAGCTTTTGGAATAAAGAAAGGACACATCCTCAACTCCACTTGGGGAGAACCCTGAATTGCATTACAAGAAAAAAAAATCCTGTTCCTTCTTTGTGCTCATATGCCCTAGGGGAGCCTCCAGGCAGGGACAGGGCCCAAGGCAGTGCCAAGGTGGCCTCAGGACCCCCCCACCCAGTGTGGGGCCTGTCCAGAACCTTCTAGTCCAGAGGCAGAAGCTGGGAGAGCGCCCTGGGGAAGGAAGTGCTCCTACAAAGGCTGTGGCTGCTCTTCCTCAGCCTGGCCAAGCTCTGGAAGGGGGCCACACACTTACAGCCTTACGTCTGGGGTTGGCAGAAAGAAGGGAGCTGTGTGGGACCAGGGACTGCTCCCCCCTCACCTTGCTCAGTCTGGAGGTCAGGGCTCCTTCCACTCGGGCGGGTCACCTTCCCTTTCAGGGCCTCAGGTTCCATGTGAGTCAGGTAGGGGGTAGAACGTGGGTCAGGCTAGATTCCCTCTAAGGGTCTTTCCAGACCTCAATTTCTCTGAATCTGTTTGCATCCATCAGAAGTTACATAAAACACCTTGACTCACACGTGGATCAGAGTCTTGGTTCACCTCCAGGGTTCCTAGCCCTTTACTGCTCATCAGATGTTTGGCTCAGGATGGATGAAAGGGGACAGAAGGCAAAGACTACATTTTCCAAAGAACCAGCAGCTGAACAGCCCCCAACAGCTGCCTTTTGTGCCAGCTTCAGCTGCTGAAGCCCAAGTAGCTGGCAAAGCCCCCGCCACACAATTCTCCTTCAAACCTCAGCCCTCTGCTTGCTCACAAATACCCTCATGCCATTCTCCAAGCAGGCCTTGACCTTCTGGCCAAGTCACAGCAGCATAATTCCAAACTGGGAGTCTCTTTGCACCTTCTTTTGATAGTAAATGGCTTCACCACTTTGCCAATAACTTGGCGGCAACTGGGCTCCCTAGCCACCTCTGGGTCCCCTCCCAACTCGTCTCCCTCCAGGGTTCCTTTTGAGGGGTTGCAATGAATAAAGAGGTCCTGTGTGATCCTGTTTTCCCTTTGAATCCCCTCCATATCGGAAGAATAGAGTGGGTATCAGAATGTCCTTTCGGGGCACAATTCCGAAACCTTTTCCTTCCTTTTGCTCACACCCCTTTGGCCTTAGAGCCAGCCCTCTCTCTGGTCTTCCCTCCATCCCTGAGAGATCTGGGTAGCACAGAGGTCTCTGAGGTATGGTAGAAAGGGATAAGGAGTTACTTAGTAGCTGTGGGAAGCAGCCAGCTCCTGTGACCTGTCTGCAGGGTAACCAGAGGACCCTGTCTGCAGTAGGGGCGCCATATACAATGGTTGGTTGGTACACTGGTTTGCCGGGTGGATGAAAGGACATAAGGGGCATCCATTCTGTGGATACTAGAGGCCTGCTGTTTCGATGTGGTACCAAGACAATTCTTCTGAACACAAGAGTTCAAAGGCTGATGGCTGTTTCCCCTCCTCAAACGTCCTACTTTTTTGCCATAGAGCCCCTGGCAGCCAAGAGAATAGGCATTACCATCAAGGAATGAAGGTGAGCATCTCTGGGTTTCTCCCAAGGCCCCTCAAGGATCTGGGGTCCACAGTTCCATTTTTTTGGTTCTCTCTAGATTCCAGATTCAACACAATACTGGGCTGGAACAGAACAGCTTTGGAGTCAGATCTGGCTGAAGCCCAGGTGCCTTAAACTGGGTGAGATCCTGGTTAAAGCACTTCACCTTTCTGAGCCTGGTCTAAACCATGGGATTTGTGATATTATCAAAGGAGATGAGAGAAAGGACTTTCCAAACTTGCAGGATAGGTTCTCATCAGATCCCGCCATGACCAAGGACTGTCTAAGGCACTTTATAGGAGCTGGGGTCAAATACATGCCTAAAGTTTCCCTCACATGGGGTGGCCAGGCTGTCATTAGCAACCCGACAATGGCGGTGTAGCCTACCCACTCTCACCCTGACCCTCGAAGGGCCAAGCCGTGTAGTTGCTTAGAAAGGGAAGGCACAGCAGGGAAATGAGGACCTGTGGTTCTTGGTGGATTTCAGCTGCCCAAGGGAACTTATTCCCTATCCTGAAAAGGAAACTTGTTTCTGGAATAAGAGGAGCAGACTCTACAAGACTGGCCCTCCCAGCTATGGGTTAGAGCCAGCACCCAGAAGCCAGCCTGGGCCCAGGCAGTTAGAAATAAGGCCCTTGAATGATCCTATCATATAATCTGATGAGAGGCTCGGGGTCGGGGGTGGGGGTGCGGGTGAGGGTGGGGGAAGGTGTCTTTGGGCCTGGCTAGAAGGCAGAGCCCTGCCCAGTGCCTAGGTGCTGCCTTCTCCTGAGCCTGGATTCAGGGGAGCAGCACTGGAATCTATGGTGACACTGCCGTACAGTGACTTCCCAGAGCCAGAGAGAAGAAAGGTGAGGGGAGGTTCAGGAGGGCATCAGCTGCTGTCCTTTCAGATAAGGCCTATGGTAATGACCTTTTGGGTTGCAGCAAACTTGAATAAAACCCTGTCCTGTTCCCACCTCTTGCCCTTTCTGGGTCAGGTAGAAAAGTTCTGCCTTGTCACTGCCCAGGGGTTGTTCAGGGTTTGGGAATTTTAGTAGTTTAGCCCAGCAGCTGCCTAAATATTAGAATTTGAAGGAACTTCTAGGGAGGTCATCCAGTCCCACCCTTGGCCCCCAGACGCAGGTTGACTAGATGAATATTTGTGTTGCTTAATAAATGGAAAACTTCCTTGGTGCCCGGGTAATCTAAGGAGTATCCCAGACTCACAACAACACAGGCCCAGGATTGGCACCTGTCTCAGACAGAGGTAGGCTCTGAGGAGGAAGGGAACGGGTGGTTGAGTCAGGCTGGGAAGGAGGCAACTGGGCAGGGCCCCGGGGAGTTTTCTGAGCGTGGAGCACAGCTGTAAACAACGTGAAAGACATGTGGCCTCAGGTATGGCTTCAGGGTCTTATGCAGGTGGGTTTCTGGCCATCCCCTGCAGTTGCTCCAAGGAAGAACCAACCTCCTGTCCCCAAAGCCTGGCAAGCTGTTGCAACACGGCTCAGCCTGAGCGGGAAGAGCTCGCTGACTGTCTGGCAGGTTCCTCACTTGGTCTCTGCCATGAGCACTTGCCCTTTCCCCTCCCTGCCCCTCTCTTTAGGCGGCAATGCTCCCCTCCCGCCCCGCCCCTGCCCCCAACCCCCAGTGCAGATAGGAGCAGCAGCCCCTTGGGGGTCAGAGGCTCACCCCATAGTCTGGGGCACACCTTTGCCTTCTTGCCTGTTGCCCGAGACCCTCACTTTAGTGCAACAAAGTGACAGCAGGGACCTCGAGGTTGACGGGTCAGGCCATAAGCAGTCAACATGTAGCCAAGGAGGAAGGTTCTGCTTCATGTCCACCCTGGGGCTCCATCAACTGTCCTGTTAACTCAAGGTCATTTTGGAAAGTCAAGCAAACCTTCTCATCCTGGAGTCACTGGGGCATAAACAGCACTGGGGGCATTTTTCTCGGCGGCTGCAACACCCACACGCCTCACTCCACAGCAGCACTTGGAGGTTCTGGGAGTCCTGGATCCCAAACCTGGGGTTGGGGCACAGGCAGGGGCAAAACTGGGGCTGGGGTTGGGGTGAGGGATCTAGGATGCAGGGGCCTCGCCCAGCCTGATGGCCCCAAAGAAGGTGGTGTGCTTGCTCATGTTGATGGAGATGTCGGCGTGCACCATCTTCACAGCGATCTTCTGCCGTGCTTTGAGGAGGCAGACGCCCGCGGTGTAACAGGTGTTGTAGTTGGTCTTGCCCGTCTCGATGCTGCGGGTGCACTGTAGGAAGGGCTTCTCATCTACCACCACCTCATAGCTGGCAAAATCAGTGAAGTTGATGTAGTAGACCTGGGTGAGAGGCAATGAGAGGGGATTGGCGGGGAGAGGAAGGAGAGGGTAGCCCCCCTGCCCCGTGATGAACAGATGGGACCTTCTGTTAGTCACCAGGACGGGCGGGTAGAAGGCTTATTTATGGTTCCTCCCTCACTCCATGGGGCTCAGCTGGCTGAACAAGACTTTCTTTTGACAGCAATCTAGTGGGAGACACTCTGAAGGCCAGAACCAAGTCTCATTCGTCCCTTGACACTTGACCTCCCCCAGCTCCAGACTCCTGCCCTCTGCCCTCCTGGGCATAGTTCTCTGCACACATTAGGTGCTCAACCAGAGCTACAGACACAAAAGGATCCAACTTCCCTTCTAATTTCAAGCCGTGTGGACTATTTGTGGAGAAACTTAGAAGTCCCCAATGCCCCCGAGACGCTGCAGAAACCACCTGCCAGTTCTTTAGCTCTTTACTGGATGGCGGCTCCCTCAGCTCACCGCCCTCCTCCCCTGTGTGGAATTTCTCTCACGGATTCTGCCATTGCCCCTTGACCTGCTCATCTGAGGATTGAGGAAACAGATCCAGAGAGATGGAGAGCTCTCCATCACACATGAGATGAAGAATATGGAAGGGCCAAAGCCAGCCCCCGACCTTATTTTGGGGCCAGAAGGAAGGGCTAACTTATGTTCAGTGGCGTGATCCTGGGGGGGTTTTCCCAATTTTCCTTGGGGTCCAAGGCCTGAGGCCTCGCCCAATTCTCTCCCAGGCCCAGAAACTTAATTTTTCTCTCCTTCATTACCC